ATAAGCAGCTGTATCGCCATGACAAGTAATTATCTTATTATTTCGTCGTGTAAAAAGATTTAAAATAAAACGCACTAAAAGTGCAGGGATATGTAACCTATCTAAAGCTAATTTAAGCATATTTAAATCCATAGAATCAAAAGCTTTAGAGATATCTTGAGAAACGATCCATAGTTCCTGATCATCAGTAGAGTCATGTTTATGTTGATGAATAATCGCATCCAGCATTTTGAAGGGACATTAGTAGAACCACCAGGTAAACCAGCAAAATTACCACCTTGAAGAATTTTATTATCAGCAAGGATGTTGGAAAGACGATTCGTGACGACCTTAACTACACATTTTCGAACTGTTTCCAGAAGGGTAATAGGTCGAGTGTTCTTAAGTTGAGCATCAAAGTCATGAGGTTTAGGAATAGGATAAACCACGGCTTCACGCCAGTCAGCAGGAATATCACCACGAGAAAGGCAAGTATTGGCAAGTAAAAGAGAAAAATCCAAGGCTTAACCGGACAAGTGTTTAATCATCTCATAAGAAATTTTTGAAGGGCCGGAAGCTTTGTTATTTGGCATGGAGGAAATCACAGCAGACCATTCTTGTAGGGAAATAGGCGCCAAAACAGGATCATATAATGAAGCAGACACATTTGTAAGAGGAGTGTAAGCTTGTTGCCATCGGGCGGGAAAAGAAGTGATGGAAGAATAGTGGACCAACGGAGGAGAAACAATTGATTGAAAATGAGAAACAGCCGCATGTTTAATATCCGAAGGATCCGTTAATAAAGTAGGAGTTGAGTCCAAAACGACCAGAACACGGTCAAGAACAATTGAACGTTTTTCTACTGATAAGGCAGAATCGATAAAGCTGCCGAGCGAGTTCGAAAAGTGTTCATCACGTAGTGCAGTATAATATTCCACTGAGTCCGTAAGGTGTTGGGCGAATTTAGTAGATAAAAAACCAGAAACTAAATTCTTCTGTGATCGTAAAAATGATTTAAATACAGATGCAGGGGTTGTAGAATAGGTAGGAACTGAGTAATCAGGGAGTAAGGATGCAAGATTTTCAAGATGGGAGGGCAAAGCGGCAGTCATTTGCGCAATCTGAGTAAGCCGATTAGAATGACGAGTAGTAAGGCGATATAAAAATCGATCTAAAAACTTGTTAATAGCAATAAGTTTAGTTAATTCAGGAGAGTATGAATGTCGGTGTGTGTTGGAGACTTTTTGAAAGGGTAAAGTTTCAATAGCAGCACTAATTATGGCAGCTTTCAATGCATGCCACATACGATCAAGAGAAAGAGAGGAGAAATCAAAATTGGGGCGATATTGTCTATTTAAATAAACTCCAAGAGAATCATCTACTTCAGTGGTAAAATTATTCCATTGTTCAACTGAAGTGGAAGCGTAAGAGAAAATAGTACGCAATTATTATTTTTGTTTAAGACGAGATTTAGCCAAGATAGCCAGGCAAGAACTGAAGTCAAAAACAGTTGTAAGAACTTTGTGATCGGTAAAAGGACGATCAAGGAGATCCGGGCAAGTAACCACTTGCGAAAAAAGACCAGGGGCAGGAAAACCAGGTGAAGACCAAATATAATCCAGTCTAGAAGATCCATTATCATAAAAGAAAGTGGGATCAGGACCATTTGTAGAGGAGTGAGCTTGATGATCGGTAAAAAACCGAGAAGAAAGCAAGCGAAGAAGCTTAAAATGATTAGGTGAATAATTAGAATGAGCGATTACATCAGCATTGAAGTCGCCAAGAATAACTACAAAATAATTATTAGCTCGGGCATAATTGAGCCAAGAAAGAAGTTTGGCAATAAGGTCATTGCAAATAGATTGATGAACAGAACCAGAAGGGGGATAATATATAGAAATAATAGAAATTTTAGTTTGATGAAAGAACAAGTCTAATTTAAGAAGTCGACCGTTCCAAGGATCAATTGTTTGAACATGTTTATGAAGGGGATTACGTAACAAAATACCAACACCATCATGAAAGCGAGAAGAAGAAGATGAACAAGCCCAATAGGACTTGAAGTGATGTTGGGAGTGTTCATTTTTAAAAATAAATATAGCATTTGAAGGGGAAAGACGCGTATCATTAATAGATAAAGCACCAAAAGAGGAGTGGAGAAAAAAATTAAGCAAATGTTGTTGTCGAACTGGAGAACATAAACCATTAACATTTAATTGACCAAATTTAATAAGGGGAGAGGGGTGAGGGGAAAAATAATGTTTATTATTGTCCATCATTATTACACACTGATAAATCGGTAATAAAAAAGGGGGAAAAAGAGAACAATTATTGATTAGCTTGGCCTTGTTGCCGAGCTAAGATGAGGTTGTTTTGTTGGATTCCTTCTTTAATCGAGCCAGCCAAAGAGGCAACAGTATCAGAAAGAGAGGAGAGACGCTGTTCCATATCAATAGGGGAGGAAGGAGCGACGTTGGAAGGTGGAATGGAAGCAAAATAAGGAATCGGGGAAAAACCACTTGTTGATTGCAAAGGGGGAGAATTAACATCAACGAGGATGTTATTATCAGTTCGATTCACTGTATCATCCCATCCTTGCATAGAGGAAGGGATGTAGGAAGGAGGTTAGCGACAAAAGGACCAGGAAGAGGAGTACGAGCAGCCATAGCAGATTCCAAATTAGTGATGCGGCTGTTCATAAAAGCAAATTGTGTGGTAAGAAGGGCTAATTCTTCAACTACTTTTTCAAGAGCAGCACCAATAGATTTCCAATCAGTAAGCACAGTAGGAGGAGCAGGGTATGTAACATCCATGCCATCAATATAGTAATCAAGTTCATTTGCATCAGGAATACGACGACGTTGATTATTATTGTTGTTATTAACATTGTCGCGATTCCATGGTCGATATTGAGAACGAGAACGAGATTGTTGTCGGTTATTAGGTCTGGATTTAGAACGATGGCGAGAAGCATTGGTACGGCTTTGTCCATCATTATTGTTATCAGGGCGGGCAAAACGGTTATGTCGTTTAGCAGGATGAGAAGGAGGTAGATGCTTATTATATAAAGCACGTAATTTATCATTAGATTGCCAAGGGCGAGAAGGGCGATTAGGTCTAGATGAAGAACCACATCGATCAGGGTTACAATTAGGGCGACCACATCGATGACAAAGAGAAGTGACTTCATCCGGAGAATGCCAGGTAAGGCCAACTTTCTTGAGGGCACATGAAATAGATTTAGCATTTTCCATAGCCGTTTCAGAGGCAAAATGGCAATAGGCGTAAGGTTTGGGATTGTAAGAATTCATAGAGAAGGGAACATTGATAGATTTAGCGGAAATTTCATCGGCAATTTCAGCAAGATCGACCGCTATAGTGCCACGCGGGAGACCGGCAAGTAAAGCAACATAAGCGCGTCTTTCAGCGCGTTGTTCAGGTGAGAAAGTAGCGGGGCAGATACGCAAACAATGTCCTCCACAAAGGACGCCCCAGGTAGAGTCGAGGTTCTGTAAAGCACCAGTAGATTCAAAGGTAATGTATGCAGTACGATAAAGTTTAGATAAACGGGTATGGCAACGAGTAATATTGCCGTAACGAGAAAAGGTACCACGCAAAAGAGCGTCAGTTAGAAAAAGGGGATATCAATAACCACCAGGGTACGCGCGTGTTCATCAGCCTTAATAGCCTGGGGGTCATAAGCATGGAAATGCAAGCCAAACAAAGAATCCATAGGGGAGGCTGTGGCGTTGTCAAGATCTTCCTTTTTTCGGAAGTGGACGATGATCCTCTTCAAATCGTTGGATCCACTACACGTGGCACGACTACCATAAGAGGAGTACAAGGAAAGTTGTCGATCAACCATGTCGCACGCGTCACGGTTCGAAGCGAAGTGATTCCAAAAGCCATCGACGTCATTAGGAGCGGCTGAGGCGTAGAAAAGTGTAGGTTGAGATTGTACTGCAGCTTGGGACGCGTCCGGAGAGGCAGCACGTTTAGGGAAGGAGACTGCGGGAGTAATTTCAGGGCTTTTGCCTTTATCGTTGTTGATAGCAGAGACGTGTTGCGAAGCATCGAGAGAAGAGGTATCGGGTTGAGAAGGTATCTCAGCGGAAGTTGTCTCAACAGGGCCAGGAGGCGTGAGAGGTTTATCAACATCCATGACAGAGTCTTTAGCACTGACTCTGGTACGTTTATTAGTAGAGGTGGTCGAAGGTGGAGTGTTCGAAGGGCCAGACATAGAGGAACCTTGACCAGAAACGTTGCCAGTTGGAGAGCTAGAGGCAGGACGTTTAGATG